GATGCAGTATGTACTAATTTTGCATCTCGAAAAGGCGAGAGGATGGGGCCACCCGCTTGTGAAGGGGAGACCGCCCCGCCCACCTGGCCAGCATAGGGTTCTATTTAGGGCATTTTCCATGATTTTTTTTTCTGCTTTTTTCTTCACTACTGGATCACGTATTATATGAGCTCCATAACTCATTATTCTTGAAAGCGGGCTCAGCCTTTAAAGGCTAAGCCAAAGCAGTTATGGCAGCCAGGTGGGCGGGGCGGTCCCCCTTCACAAGCGGGTGGCGCCATCCTCTCGTATTTTTGAGCTGCGAAATTAGTACATCCTCCACCCTTGTCGACAAAGCTACGATATCTAAGGAGGGCGTAGGAACATCAAATGAACGCGGGCGCTGCCTTCAATGATATGCTGCAGCCTTCTCACGGCGCTGCAGCCGGGTGATCCGACTGGTTCACTCATAATACGCAAAAGCTGGAATTGTTACTAAAATCATGCAAGCGATAGAAAGCAGAGAAAGACAGAAAATTGGCGCGCTCAAAGGGATTGAGTTTGAGTTGTCCGTAGGCCGGACAAGAATGTCTTCCGCTACCTTCGGCACTGCCCCTTCGGGCGCTTCCTCAAACTATTTCGTCTACCACCCTGGGCCAGCATGACAGCTGTTGATGCCGAAATGAATGGAGCTGCCTAAGAACGATCTTTATTACTAGGCAATCTTCCACGACGCTAATGTCTGAAAGCGGAGCCTACAGGTTGAATGATGAAAAGAGGTTTGGGTGTACCTGTGAACTCAGCTCGAGGAGCTGAGGCAGGGATACTGCTGGATGAAAAAGCTGCTCCCTCGGTCAATTCGCAGCAATGAGATCTGAAGCGAGTCGTGATGAAAAAGGAAACTTATCAACACAGTTTGTAATCAACTTAATGGTGCAGCCCGTTCCGTCCAGAACAGTTCCAGCCCAACCTCATGCTATGAAAGCGGGAATTCTCCTCCTTGGAGTAGCCCAGGCATTGCTCTTTCTGACTGCTAGGTGCCTCCCGTACTTAATCGTTATTTGGCCAAGAAAACCTATATGACTCGAGCCCACGTCGAAATTGAGGTGATGTCCAACATTGCGTCGAGCCGGCTGCAATGAAGCGATAGGCATCCACGAAGTGCTAAAAAGTGGCAAGGACTTCGCAATGATTTTGCTGTATTATTTTATCTTTTGTGCCTCTCTTTGAAAAGGAAGTCGATCTGATGAAATGTGACAGAACTTTCCCGCCAACCTAATGAATCAAGAAAAAATTCATGCCTTCCATTCTAGACGTGGCATTGAACATCACCACATCATTGGATGTCAAGATGAATATTTATTTCCTCGCAAAACCATCACCTACTACTCGCGTCGATCATAAGTAGAGTGGAAAGCAATAGGCAAAGGCAAGCGAACTATGAAAAGTTTCTCCGGTCAAATCTATTGAAAGGACTTCGAGAAACTAGTTATAAATAGCAGTGCGAGTTGGAGCAAAACATAGATTGGAGGATTGATTGATTGGCGAGGCAGTCGTAATCATGTCCGAAATATCCGCAGTCTTCTTTCTTGTTGCATGCCATTCCCGTCTGGGGTACATCGGTTCTGGGACTGGAAAGATGGTTTTCAAAACAGATAACTTTCTGATTTCATGTATGATCACAAACCGATCACTTCGTGTAGACGCAGGCTAGTTTGAACCAAAGGCTCTTTCCATCAGGTCCCGCCGGGTGCCTATAGGCACATCCCATATAAGGTGCATATGGGTGCATAAGCTGGAAAATTTAGAAGGATTCCATATGAAAGCAGTTGATGAGTGTACGGTAGACCTTACTCGTGTCCTTGAGTCGTACTCTTTGGTCCATTCGTCCACCACTTCTGCCAACTCATACATCCAATTAGCAGCTTTTATTAACTGGGCTAAATGATATCAAACTAGTTTTCTGGAAAGAAGTGATGAGAAACAAGTCGCTACCCTTCTTTGTAGTTGATGGATATCGCTCATGGATAAGCTTGACCATAGTTCAGTGCACGTCCCTCGCCTTTTTCAAGGTCGGCAATACGTAGTCGCTCATTAGTGATATGTGACTTAACTTTTCAAAAAACAAACTTTTTTCACCAAGTCAAATGCCAATCCTAACCGAGCTCATAGGCATTCACGCTGCTTCACGCATTCAGCACAGTTAATTGTAGCGTTCCCCTCACCCACATTCTCGCCTGGATCAGTGTACTAATAGGAAACCTTGCATTTGACGTCACTCTAAAGTCCCCGCACACTCAGCGCTGCGACTGTTTCTTAATATGCAATTAATCCTTTCCTATCGTGATGTGGGCAGCAAGTTTGGTGACATAAATCAATGAAGAATGTGACGCTTTATACTGTTGCGCACGTAGCGAGCGTAGCGCAGCGTAGCGAGTCGCTTCTCAGCGTACCCTAAGCAGGCCGAAGAGGAGTATCGCGATATCGATCTAGCTTCACCAGCGTCACCAGCGGCACGCTAGCGCACGCTGGCGTAGCGAGGGCACGGGAAGCATAGCTATCGATCTAGCTTCACCAGCGTTTCTCGAGCGTTTCTCCAGCGGCACCAGCGTTTTGCTAGCGCTTGCAGCGGCAGGGAGTAGAGACTATGTGGCCGTGAGAGACGCGGAATCGACGTGTATTGTAGAGACCATGTGGCCGTCGGAAACGCAGAAGCGATGTGCATTGTAGAGACTATGTGGCCGTCGGAGACGCAGGAAGCGATTGGGAGTGCGAGACTAGTGCCGCGGAGACTGCAGAAGCGATGTGCATTGTAGAGACTAATGGGCGAGTGAGAGACGCGCAATCGATGTTTTGTACCCTCCAGCTCTCCCATAGTCTCTACTCCCCTGCCGCTGCAAACGCTAGCAAAACGCTGGTGAAACGCTGGAGAAACGCTGGCGTACGCCAGCGTGCCGCTGGTGACGCTGGTGAAGCTAGATCGATATGCATCTTCTCTTCGGCACTGCCGCTGGCGTACGCTGGAAGCGCTACGCTACGCTGCCGCAAAGTATAAACGCAGCCTTAATGCCGGTAGCTGGTCGATACGAGATAACCCTTTGGCGTCTGA